ACCACCACCACCACCACCCCTCCTCTCCCCAGCAGACTGACGTGCACAGCTATCGGCTATCTCAACATGATCACCTTCACGGCCTCTGTCCAGTCCCTGGGAGTGATCAGCGTCAACCGTTACATGAAGATCTGCCGGCCCAACAAGTTTGCCGACATTTACACCTTCAGAAATGTCCTGCTCATGTGTGTAGGTGAGTCTTTAAAAAGGTATTATCACGTCATGTGTTCACTTTTCACGAATTTTCCTCTCTTAATTATATTCAACCAGGTGGGAATGGGTGCCTGGTCAAAGACAGCGAAAGATATTGTCAGTATGTTTGTGATTTGGCGCCTGTAAAATGGCAGCTTGCACTGTATGATTCCCAGGAAGTTGAGATTGTTTCACATATCTATCTGCAGGTCTGCTGAGGTAATAATGTAGATTGTAAAGCGCATAGTCTTGCTATTTAGCAGAAATTTGCGTTATACAAATGTTATATATTATCTTTTTTTATATTTTTTTAGTATGATCAACTTACCACGCGCCACAGTCATTGAATTATTATAAACGACTGGGTCGACTCACGGGCGAGACTGAAACTGCTCATTGAGCGGATCTGGGCCCTAGGCCGCAATGTCCCATTTCCCATACATGATAGAAATGGGACAATTTGACGAGGCAGTTTACAACCTATGAAGACCAAGAAACGACATACTTAGGTCCCATTTAACGGCAGATGTCTCAACGTCGACGTCTCTTCAAGGTAGATGGATATTTTTTCCCCCTGGAAAGCAAGATAAAAAAAGAACAAACAAATTTTACGATGATACCAATGGATTCACATGCCCAAATCTCTCTCTCTCTCCCTCTCTCTCTCTCACTCTCTCTCTCTCTCTCTCTCACTCTCTCTCCCTTCTCTCTCACTCTCTCTCACTCTCTCTCCCACTCTCTCTCCCTCTCTCTCTCTCTCTCTCTCTCTCTCTCTCTCTCTCTCTCTCCCTCTCTGTCTATCAATCTATCTCCATCTCTCTCTCTGTGTCTCTCTCCCCGTCTATACTGAAAAGAAAAAACATTCTCTCTAGGCTTAGAACAGTTAAACAGCGTTATGTCGGAATGATTTCCTCGCTTCACTCTCACAGAAAGCGAACTGAAACATGATGAAAATTTCTCTTGTATACAGACACAGGCAAACGGGTGCTCTGTACGTTGGAAGATGTTGGCGAAGGAAGAATCTTGAATCGATACAAACCTCTTAAACCCCTTGAGCCCTCTCGTTGAGAGTGCTTTGCTCGAAGACAACCTGAAAGTCTTGAATACGTTTTAAGCCATGAATATGGATTAACAAAGAAGGGAAAAATTGAGGATGGAAAAAGAGGTTTAAAAGCAAAGAAGATTTGTTGAAATCCTCTACTCTCTACACAAGTATATAGCTCTCTTTTAATATCTATCTATCTATCTATCTATCTATCTATCTATCTATCTATTTATCTATCTATCTATCTATCTATCTATCTATCTATCTATCTATCTATCTATGTCT